TATCTATCTATCTATCTATCTATCTATCTATCTATCTATCTATCTATCTATCTATCTATCTATCTATCTATCTATCTATCTATCTATCTATTAAACTGAAGATTTGAGACCAACAATCCCTCAGTGTTTTAAGCTTTACGGTAACGAACAAATGAATTTCACTGCGAGCATTACCGTAATGACTGTAACCCAGCCAGAAGTAGCGGACCGCAGATAACAACGGCGCAGATTCTCCTCGTCAGACAAAGCTGGAGGATCGAGGGGTAATGGAGTGGTTTTGGTTGTGGAGGATTTTAATAGTAGTGCAAGTTTTTCACGCGTGTTTGGCCGGTGCTTCAGGTAATCTATTTTTAAACACCTACGCCTTTTGAATTTGTTATAAAAAAAGAACTAGTGAGCTTTTATTTGTCCGTCGCTCTTTAAGATGACTTCTGGCGCTATAGGCAACCATCAATTCACCGGTGTTAGCTAACTAGCCCAGCAGCTAACTTTTAGGTTGGTATGAATGATGGGTAAGAATTTGCTCTTTCTCTCACACTCACATTCAGTACGATAATTTATAGTCGAGCCATTACATGACAGAGTGTTTTCGTGCAGGAGTTACTTGAAGTGCTGTTAACCTGTATGGTCTGCTTGCTCTAAAAAAACCTAACCTACACAAATACATTGATTCTATGTAAATTAGAGACTTGCAAACTGCGAAACAGCCGCGCGTGTAGGTTTTCCCTTGTTCTTTAGACTCCATCGACGTGTGTTGACTCTTTTAACGGATTGCGCAAATGCTCTGGCTTAAGCAAAGGGAAGCTCAAAAGTAAGCTCTCAGCCCCTTATAAAGCCCTTGTAAAGCCCTTATAAAGCCTAAGACTGTAATATGCTGCAAACTTTAACAGCACAATCGAGGTGTCCACTCATATTTCAAAGTTTCTTCAAATTTAATATCACACACATCTGTGTTGTAGATTTCTTTTTAAATTAATAATGAACATCTGAACTGTTATTAGTAAAAGGGACTGAAAACAAAAAGGGCATACAGGCAGCTGCGAATCTGGTTAGATACAATACATTAAAAATAACACGTCTGTTCTTCCCTAAATATTTCCTTTGTTGGCAGACTGGCAAACAACACTTCCTGCTTCCTGGTGTGTACTGGATCATTGTCCTGCTGCATAGGTGTGCTTCAGCCAGACATTGTCACTCAGGATCTTTTGGTAGAGAGCAGAATTTATGGTTCCATCAATTACAGCAATGAGCCATTTCTGCCCACTCGCGTTCTTCCCGTTGAATCAAGAACACTGACTTTAACTGAGTCAAGTGAGGCCTGCAGTTCTTTTTAGATGCTGGGCTCTTTTGTGACCTACTGAATGATTTTGACTCTATTAAATGTGATACAAAATAGCAAAATCTCCATTTATATGTGATGTTTCAGGCAACCAGTGGAAGAAAGTTAAAGAAAGGATATCAGATACTGTTAAAGGGTACACTCCATGTGAACCTGTCAACTGTAGCTGCCACCTAAGGTTGGTGCACTTTATCTTTCTTGCATATGAACTGAATCCAGGCAAAAGATCATTCTGTTAGAAACCTCTTTATTATGAAATAAGTGTCAGATCTACGTATAGTATCTGACATACTGATCACATGCATGTTTACTGCTTCATTCCCATTGTGTAAGTTAAAGCATAATATGAACTTTGCCGTCTGTCTCAGTGTCCTACAGCATGACTTGCAGACCTTTAAAGGGGGGATTTCACAGGATGTCATGGCTGCTACGGTTCAGAGAGGAGTGGGAACCCACTACCAGATCATTGGACACAAGCTGTACAGGGAGCAAAACTGCATGTTCCCTGCTAGGTAAAGCAGGACCTGGTGTGATTTTTAGAAATTGATCAGATACAAGTCATTGTTACTTGTCTGAACATCAGGTAGTTGTATCGATGACATGATGTGGGCCACTTCCCTGTTTTCAGGTGCAGTGGGGTGGAGCACTTCATACTGGAGGTGATTGACAAGCTGCCTGACTTAGAGATGGTTGTAAATGTGAGAGACTACCCTCAAGTCCCCCACTGGGTGCAGCCAACCCTGCCAGTCTTCTCTTTCAGTAAGGTCAGAATGTGGGCAGTATTTTTGAGGTACACATGGATGTGTTATTACTATTATTAAGTGCAGTAAGTGTTCTTGAAATGTGGATGTTTTTTAAGTAGACCTCAGACTACAACGACATCATGTACCCAGCATGGACATTTTGGGAAGGCGGACCTGCTGTGTGGCCCATTTACCCCACTGGACTGGGAAGATGGGATCTGATGAGGGATGACCTTAAAAAGTAAGGTTTGCACTTTAGTGAGGGGAGGAGCTGACTAGTGAACATACAGTTTGGACCATTGTCCAATTATGTGCACTGAAGAAATTAGAAATGTAATTTGGAAATTACGGTCACTTTTATACACAGTCCTGCATTTTTTGAAGCTCAAAGTGAATTGGACAAACTACCATAATCTTAAATATAATAATATTCCAGCATTTGGAGGAATCCTGCTGCTTCTGTCAGCAGTCCCATCAATGAACACTGGTGTTCCACTGGTAGCCATACTGATGACATCACAATGTTCCCACCGTGTTTGACAATGATGTGGTATGGCTCGGATCATGAGCTGTTCCTGTTGTTCTCTATACTTTGAATTCATTTAGGTGGTCCCTTTTCATATCCTTATTAAAAGAATATCTTCACTCTTTTCTATATTAAATAAAAAATGTTGATTTTAACGTACAACATTTCTAATAGTACTACTGCTAATAATGTGTTGTGTTTTAGCTCTGCAGCACAGTGGCCATGGAAGAAGAAAGAGTCTAAAGGATTTTTCAGAGGTTCCAGGTCAGTGTTGTGAAGATGTTCACTTTGTGTAACTCTCTATGGAAATTCTTTTTATTCTTTTTCTTTTCATATACATTTACATCATATGTGTAGCTAGCTGTAGGACTCTAAATCATGTCTTCTGGACTGTGCTCTTTCTTTGGTAGAACCAGCCCTGAGCGCGACCCTCTCATCCTTCTGTCCAGAGAAGCTCCAGAGCTGGTAGATGCAGAATATACAAAGAACCAAGCCTGGAAGTCTGAGAAGGTCAATCACACTGACACCACACCACACTGAGCTCACAGAATTTTGCAATAATCTGAAATCAGTAAGATTCTTTTTAAATTGATCCTGCTTATATACGGTCATTTCATTGTTATAGGACATATTAGTCACTTTTACAGTGGAATCCATCAGACTGACTTTAAATGACTTTTTTTGTATTTGCTGCATTTTAGGATACTCTTGGGAGACCCCCTGCCAAGGAAATTCCCCTGGCAGATCACTGCAAATACAAGTGAGCTCATTCTCTTGACTTTGCCTTTATTTCATTCATATTTAAAGAGGAACCATTATACTCTTTCCCAGCTCTGTGTGATCTACAAATCAGAATGATCCTCCTGAAATCCTGGGCCTTAGAGGATAAAATGAAAGGCAGACCTGTCTGAAACAAGGCTTTTTAGCTTCAATTCTTTAAACCACCTTCCTTCTGATTGGCTGCTTATTGCAAACAGAAGGATTGAGCTGCAGGTGCTGTGGCAACACCCTCGTGGCATGAGAACAGCCAAAAGTAGCATTTATAAAGACATGTCTTATAGCTGAGTTTACAGCAGCTTTGTTGTGCCATGCAGTCTAACGGATGACTTCTTTCCAATCTCCTGCAGGTATTTGTTCAACTTCCGTGGTGTGGCAGCAAGTTTTCGCTTCAAACATCTCTTCCTGTGCGGCTCCTTGGTGTTTCACGTGGGAGACGAATGGCAGGAATTCTTTTACCCTCAGCTCAAGCCCTGGGTCCACTACATCCCAGTCAGGCAGGATCTGTCGGATCTCAGGTAGGTCAGCTTGTGTCCTCAGTAGAGATGGACCGATCCGATATTACAATCGGTATCGGTCCGATACTGACCTAAATTACTGGATCGGATATCGGAGAGAAATAAAAAATGTAATCCGATCCATTAAATATCACGAAAGCACCTCACAAAACTTGCAACATGGCGTAACTCAGCTCATAACCTTAGCACGTCGAGCAGTATGCGTCACGTGATAGAGCGGCTGTGGCTGTGGTATAGCTTTAGTGTTTTTGTTTTTTTTTTAAACTTCAGTATGAACTTATACAAAATGCAGCAAGATATTAAAAAAACTGTTTTATTGATTAAAAATACACTATATCGGATTCATATCAGCAGATATCCAAATTTATGATATCGGTATCGGACATAAAAAAGTGGTATCGTGACATCTCTAGTCCTCAGACGTGTGGATGAAGTCTGTGTGTGCATCGTTAGTTTTGTTGTTTAAATGTATTTGTTAAGACGTCCCTTTGGTTTAGAAAAGAAGATGGCAGCTTGTGTTCGTGGATGGAGGAAAAAAAGAGTCTTTATACAGTGTGTGTGTAGCCTTCTGTCTGTTGTCCAATTTAAAAATGTGAGGCCTTTTATATTCCTTTTATAGAACAAAGGAACGTATTTACAACCAGCTTTGACAATTTAAACCTGATGACACAATAATAATTTGTTATATAGGTAAATGTGCAAATTTACACATTTTAATTGCATCCGTGAACATATAGCGATACGCTGACTGTATATTTCAAGCAAAAGCTGTTGGATAAATGCCAACAAGCTGGTGAAACAACTAATAGCTTGTAGCAAACCAGAGAGCTTGACAAGAAGGCTGGATGGGGATTTTAAAGTGAGCTCTCAAACTTTATTTGTTACTTTATTTCAGGTTTTATTTTGAAATATCTCTATTCTATGCACGCCCAGGAGTACTATTTGCCAAGTAACATTGCAAATATAAATGTGTCTGCACTCTGTGTCCTCAGGGAGCTGCTCCAGTTTGTTAAAGAGAACGATGCCATCGCGCAGGAAATAGCTACAAGGTGAGAGATCAGAACTTCATGATTGAGCAGGAGTAGCTGCGATAACCTTCTCCCAGCATCACGTGACTTTTCTGCTTCCCAACCTCTCTACAGGGGGAAGGAATTCATCCTCAACCACCTGCGAATGGAAGATGTTTCCTGCTACTGGGAAAGACTTCTGACCATGTTCAGCCAGCTTCTCACCTACAAACCCCAAAGAAAGAACAGCTACAACCAGATAGTCCACCGAGCCAGCAAAACAGAGCTGTAAGACAGACTGTGTGGGACCAGACTGTGAAGATTCTGACTGTAACTGAACCAGGGCGTACGGTTTCTTTTCAAGCAGCACTGTGTCATGTTGTTAGTATTCAGTTTTTATCTGTTTTTATTTACTGATCTGAAGTCTGACGCTTTAACGCTGTCTTCATATATTTGTGTTTATTACAGTGTTTGAGACCAGTGTGGACCACACAATGACCCACATGTCCACCAGTTAGTGGGCTTAGATTACACAGCTGTACAAGCAGCTGACTGTAGATGCTGCCAGTAATTAATCTGTGCCCACAAGATTCTATTAGTATCTTTTGAAAGAGGGGGAAAGTGTGCACACTGTTTCTCTGTGGTGTATATTCCTCCATCAGATCACGTGACTGACACGTCTCTCTAAAAGAGCCAGCATTTGCAAGAGTACACTAAGGATCCCTCAATCAATGCATTCTTGTGAAAGAATCTTTCACAAGAATGCAATGCAAGAATCTTCAGGTGCCACTAGGGGGCTTATGTGCCAAAGTCCTTACTGATCACTCTGGTTTGATGAGTTCAGTACTTCCAGATGTGACGACTGTTTTTGCGCCTGTTATCCATCTAACCAGCACAAGTGCGTAACTATAACGCATGTTTTTAAGCCACTAAAGAGGCAATCCATTATTTTATACATCAGTTTATTTTTATTTGTCAAAAAGTTATAGCTGTGATTGTTATTTTGATTATATTATAGTGACATTATCAAGGTTAGTGGAAATCATAATGTAAAGGGTATATGTAAAGGAAAATCCAAGGGATTGTTGGTGGATATCAGTTTGGGAGTAACTTTTCTAACTAGATTACATGTGAATATTTAGACTCTGTAGCTGAGAGGCAAGAATTTTGGTACTAGAAGCTTTCTGGTTTGTGTTATGTTGTCCAGTTGTAGATCTGGGTTTTTGAGCAAACTTTGGTTGCATGCAGGTAACTTGTCCATGTAGAGAGCAAAAGAGCAATTACTCCTACTGATGGGCTCCTAGATTGGTCTGACAGTTGTTTTTATTGAAACTAAAACTTTAATTCTCCAGGAAAGGATCATAATGGAAATATAATGCATTCCTGTCTTTAAGTCATTGAAAGCTGTAATGGAAATGGACGACAGGTGTTCAGATATTTACAAAAGATGTGTAATTATTAAGTGGTAGTTAAGGATACCAGGTTTACTATGTTGGAAAAATTTAATGAACAACAAATAGTTTGATATTAAATGAATCTATGCTTAGTACAGTTTAGTACAGAAAATAATGTGTAGTCCACCTACCAGACATTAAAGTAGTGGCTAAAACTGGTAAGATGAATGTCTGAGGATCATGTGGTAGTAGAGTTTCTTCTTTGCCACCAGTGAAGTTGATTGCAAAGCTTTGCTAAAGATAAGTTTTGTTACACTGCCCTCTACTGGGCAACTGGAAAAACTAGACTTTTACTAAGTTTCATGATAACCGGAATGCAAATCATTAGCTATATCAGTCTACATTTCACCGCCATCGATTTTATAACATAGATAGAAGGACACTTTCTTTTACACAAAGTGCCAGCAGTGAGCAATAATATTCAGAGTAACCACTTTGTTTACCATTTCTGATAAAGCTGCCTTGAAATCAAGACATAGATGATGTAACTGATACATGATCATGTTGAATATGTTGTAGTATTCGGTTATTTGAGGAAAAAAAGAAGCTGAGATGATGTGTCTGGTCATAGTGTTTGTTTTTATCTCAATAAACTGGTTAAAACTTTTTAACACTGTCTTTGTCACGCTTTTGTCTTTGTTTTTGTCTCTTGCTGTACATGTATGTATGTATGTATGTATGTATATATAATATTCACGTGTGTCCGCTGTATTTAGTTAAGGTTTTACCCCTTAACTAAATAACTATATAATAACTATATATATAACCCATGATAAACGTAAACCACCCGGTTGTGTCAGCAACGGTAACAGCAACTGTGTTAGTCCTCCAGCGGTAGGCGGCGCTATTTTCAAGTCTTTCAGCTGTAAGTCTTGGCCGGGGTGAAAGGTTTGGACGCCGGTGGACTATGTGGGAACTGTAGTAAAGCGCTCTTCTGAAGGGCATTATGAAAACCAAATATCTGTATTTTCGTACATTAATCGGAACGGCACGTCTTTGTAAAAACAAGCGGTTCATTTCAGAGGGATTCAAGTAAGTTGTTTTGCACCTGCTGTGATGTGTCAGAGGCTAACAGCATGCTAACTATACGAGGGGTTGTTGCACACCAGTGTTTGAACAAACGAGGAGCATAAAACCGACCGCAATGAAAACCGGTGTCGCGTTTTGGGAGCTGTTACGTAAAACTGTGCTGTTTGTCATAAATAACGTGCTGAGCAACAGCACATGCACAGTTTGACCTGACAGGAGCACTGTACGAAGAGACAGCGTTATGTGGCATCACTTATCCACCAGCACACTGGCTTTAAAAAAAAAATATATTAATTGTTATTAATAAAATCTCGCCAGAAATAATCCAAAGAGTCCTCTGTATAAGGTTCTGCATAAACAAACACCCATTTCAGATGAACACAGCCTAAATGCTATTAAAAATATTCTGCCTTGTTGGGTTAAAACAACACAATCAAATCAATCACCAAAGCCATTTTTCTTCTGCATTTTTCTCCCTACTGAGGGGATACAACAGCTAGAACTGTGTTGGACCCACTTTGCCTTTAAAACTACCTCACTTCTTTGTGACATTGACTCACAAAGGTGCTGGAAACAACTTTGGTCCATATTGACACAGCAGAGGAATCTACCTTTCTAATCCCAGTAGATCAGCAGTTTCTAAAACATTCACACCACCCTTTCCTCCCCATTATGATGCTGAGTTCAAACTTCAGCAGGTCAGGATCCTGTCTACATGCCTGAATGCACTGAGTTGCTGCCATCAGAGTTTGTGTCATTGAGTGGCCACTCCATAGTCTTACAGCAGGAGTGAAAATACAGGGTTAGGTTCATTCAAATTGTTTAGATAAACAAAATTGTAAAATAGTATTGTTTCCTCTCAAATACAGCTTGATTGTTTCGCGCCTTGGTGCAAACAGACTCAGACTCATAATCTTATTTCTTCTACTGTGGATGGTTCAATAAATGTGAATATTTCCTTATATATTTACTGTTTGTGCTCTGGTTAAAAAATCTCAGGCAGAATAAGGTCACTGTGACCTTTTATTTTTACCTTTGACCCCGGAGCAGTTGACACATCCTGATTAGCAGATCTGAGGTTTTGTGCTCTGAGAGATCAATAGTGTATTTTACAGGTTGGGGAGGAAAAAAGCCTGTTTTCCCAGATTCTGTTGATAGGACTGTAGAATTCAACAGCTGCTTAGTCAAACAGCCTGTGCAGCACTGCCAGGCCTTCATTCGCCTCGAGGTTTTTGGTTTTGAGGATGGAGCTTGAGCTGAGGCGGCGAGTGTGGCGTCTCAGCCCGTGACCATGTGTTTCTCCCTGTTGCAGCACATCAGCAGCTGAAGCGTGATGCATCCAGAGCGGCGCAGGACAAGCGTTGCCCTGCAGAGACGACTGGCAGATTCAGCCCCTCAGGGCACGCTGAGCACCGGCCAACTGCAGGGCTTCATCCAGCGTGCCAGGCCTCCTTTCTTCTGCTTTCTGCTCCCCAGGGTTCACGCAGCTGATGTGGCTGCTGCCCAGCCTGCACAGATGCCCTCTTCCTCCTCCTCATCATCCTCTTCCTTCACCAGTACTGCTCCTGTAGCTATCCCTTCGTCCAGCAGCCTCCCGAAAAACATCGGGAAGCCAGAATTCCCGAGCACGGGATGGGAGCGCATCAAAGATCTCTTTGACAGAGAGTTAGTTTTATTGTTACATTGTTTCACTTGTTTGTGTCTTGGTGTTTTTGAAAAGGTCTTTGTGTATATGTAGACACTGTGGTGTCGAATTCATCGTGAATCATGTAGTTGATGAGTTAAGATTATTTAACTAAACTTGCAGCATCCTTTAGTTTTATTTGGCTTTTTGCTCTAATGGCTTCTAATGTAACAAGTTCACTCATTACTGGCTTTAAACTTACAAGGAACATTCTCGTCCCTGTTTAGTGTGACTCAGAAATACCCAGAGGAGATCACCAATGTTGTAAACAGCGGTGCTCTCGGTGCACTTGCAGGCTTTGTCTATGGGGGCTTGCCAGCAGCTCGCCACGCCAGGGAGAGATATATCCAAGTCAGCCAGGCAGAATTATACACTAATCGTGTGGACGCAGTGGTAAGTGAAATCTGTGCCTTTAAAACCATATCTGCTGTGGTTTTGGGTGCAAATGTTCCATGAATGATGTTTGTGTTCAGCTTTAATATTGTGATGTCATAGTTTCTTATTTAATTGAATTATTATTTAGTGGTCTGAAGTGGAGCATTGAGAATAATGCTGCAAATAAAAGTAAAAGTCTGTCTGTGCCTGTTCTGTCTGTCAGCGCTCAGCACACAATGCAGCTATCCGGGGGTTTATAAGATATGGATGGAGATGGAGCTGGAGAGTGGCTGTGATAGTTACCTTGTTCAGGTAAACAAAAACAAAAAACAGGTGGAGCATGTGAGGAAAGTGTGTGTAGTGTTACTTTTACAAGGGGTCAAATCAGCTTGTGGATCTGGAGTATTAATAACAGGAGAATGCACAGAATGCTGAATGTCACATAAACAATGTGCAGATGTTTATTGGATGCGAGTGCTTTAACATTGCTAGCATACCTCGGTCAGTTTGTTTTGGCCTCACTGACTCAACATCATGTGTTTCCTCTCCCTGTGTAGTTCTGTGAGCACGGGACTCTCCGTGTACCAAGACAAAGACGCAGTCAGCCAGTATGTTGCAGCTGGAGGTGAGTCACGTGATCTGATCAGGGCGCCTGCGGGTTGTAGTTCCAACTGTGATTGTTTTCAGTTATTTCTATAATAAATGCCCACTAAAATAGGACCGTATGTGATGATATTAAAATGTGAAACGTCTGTTCAGTTACACCCAGAATCTATGTTTAGTTATTGCTTGACAATAAAAGTGTTCTTTCAACATGTCCAGTACAAATTCCTGCACATTGAAATGATGAAACTCTGTATGTGAACAGCTGTGACTGTAGGCCTTTTCAGACTGAACCTGGGCCTGAGAGGGCTGGTAGCGGGCTCGGTGATCGGAGCAGTGCTGGGGTAAGGCTGGCTTCTGCTTCTACAAGAATTCTTTGACTTCCAGTCCCAACAGTGCATGTTAAACTTTTTTTCCATCTGATGTAATAGAACATGCTCAGTCCTCAGTACTGAGCTGACTTCTATTATCAGATGCTGTGTATTTACTTTTTGACATGCATGCATGCCTTCTCGTGTATGTGTGTGTATATTTACATTCATGCCTGTGTGCTCGAAGTCAGTGAGCACTCTGGCAGCCAGCTGCGCCCCTCCCAGCAACCCTCTGTCACCCAGCTGAATCTCCCCCCTCCTCCTCCCCACTCCCTTCCAAATCTGCTCGTGGTGCCAGAGGGACTCGTGTACCACAGAGGACAGTGTTTTGGGTACTGAACCAAGGAGACGGGCCAAGGCAGCAGCTGCCCTTCTCCTTTTATACCATCGGTGTTATTCCAGCCTCTTGTGTCCTTCTACCGTGGTCTGATGTAGACTTGGAGGTGCTTCATCCTCTGTCTCATCTTCACAGCCTGGCCCACTTTAGCCTCGCTCGTCCTTTCAGCTGAGCGCACACAGCTAAATGCAGATTGTGTAACTGCAAATTGAGTGTGTTGCCTTTGATGGTGTAACAGAGGAGGGTCTAGTTTGGATCATCCCTGTGGTCAACTCCATAATGGCTTAGCCATACTTCCAGTTGGCCCTCCACTAGCACTGCTCCCTCCTCCTCTTCCTCTCACTGTCTGCTTCAGTGGCCAGCCACCTGGAGCATTTGATGTGGGCAAATGGCTCCAGCCACGGCTACGCCAGGTGTAGCTGGGGCAGAAGGGGCGGCATGAAAGCAGGCAGCTAATTGCAAAGCACATCACGCTCCAGATCTTTAACCATTATGGTTTCCTTATTCATGTCGTAGAGGTGTGAGTGGAAAGTGCGGAGGGTTCGGAGAAGCTGGGCCGCAGCAGCTGTAGAAACTGTTTAAGGAAGTTATTACAGGGTCGATGCTTCCATTGAACTGGCATCTGATATGTTTTATGTTATACAACATAGACTATCTGATGAACTGATCTGTGTAAAAGTGTAAAGGTGTGCATCACAGTTACAGTTATACACACTGACTTCTACACAGGATTCCGGTTGGTGCTCTGGTCATTGCCTTGCAGTCCCTGACTGGAGAGACGATCCGAGAGAGGCGCAGGAGAGAGCGCAGGGAACTGTATGAGCACAAGCTTGCAGAATGGTAAGATCTATCAGAAATAAATACAAAGTGTCATTTTATCCTGATGCTTCTTGGTTAATCAGAGCTGGTGTTTCCAATAAAAGGACAGCCCGTTTGCAGTTGACGGATGAGCTGATTTCCAACTTGAATGTGAGCTCTCAGGTGGAGGAAACCAATAAGGACATGCAGAGGATCCAGGAACTGCTCAGTCTACCACAGAATGAGAATGAGGATGTAGTCAAAGACTCAAGTGGACAGTGAGCATGGCTGCCTTCACTGTCTGCTATCTGTTGGAATCTGGAAAATACAAACGTTCTCTTACTGAATGGAAACCGATTCAGATGAATTCATGATGCTGTTGTACAAGAAAAGTAGGTCCAACGAAGAGCTCACCTAAATGTGACATGGGATACAGGAAAAGGATTTTAAGACTTTCAAATATTCAGTATCTGATTTGTGCCACTTAGTCCACATTGGTGTTGTAAAGGTTAAGGTGGACTTGATGTGATGCTTCTGTGTACTTTTAATACTGAAGTTGACTGACACAGTATGTCCCGTGGTTGAAATCACAAAGTCAGCATTGTTGGTCGTACAACTTATTAAAACCACATGAAAGAAAGAAAGAAAGAAACAGACTCCTCTCCAAACCAATAAATATCAATTCATGCTACAAAACACTTCATTCTCTCTGTGTGTAATCTGTAGTTTGCTTTTGACTTTGCCTTATGGGCTTTTCAGTAACTAGGTCAACCAAAGCCTCGGCCCCTGGTGTAAAAAAGATGTGACACAGCAACAGCTGGGGCTCAGGATGCAGCAGTGACTGCTGACGTGCACATGGACAGCCAATAGAAGCAGGCTGAGCAGTCTGTGATGTGGAGAGCTCAGAGAGCTTCAGGTAAACGCTTCAAACGAGAAACTAGTTAATAGATTTCTCTTCTTTTTTTTTTTTAACCATTTAGGCTGGAGTAACAATGCAAGTCTGACTTCTCCAGACTTAATTTACTGCTGGAATGAAAGTGTTAGCATCATATTTGTTCAAATTAAAAACCTTATTGGATTCAAATATAAAATTATCCCAAATAACCACAATGAAGCTGCAGCTCCTTTACATTTATACGTTTATACTGCATCTGAGGGATGGATCGACAAGTGAATACATGCTGTATTCACCCACTTCCTCCCATGGATCAGCTTCTTAATTCTTCTGAGAGAGCAACATGCTTTCTGAAAATGAAAATATGAATGATTGCTGAGTAATTTGTTGATAGAATGACAGCAAGTGAAGTATGTTTCATAAATGGGCTCTGAGCGCCCTCTGCTGATGGCTTTGCATGAGTGAGTACAGAATACAACAGAGATGTGTCTTCAGTAACTGCGGTATTTCAAAGTTAAAAACTGCTCCACAGCTGAAACACTGCAACAAACGCATGCATACTGCAACGCAGGGGACTTTCTTCTGGCCTGTGAAATGCTCGGACACCAAAGCGTTGTCAGTATTTGTTAATGGGTTGTGTCCACCGTGTGTCCACATGGAAAAGAACTGAGCTGAACTATCTAAGATGTGCAGGAATGACACTAAAGACTGTTTCTTAGTTAGCACAAGGGCCAAAAGTGGATTTGCAAATTTCTGTGAGAGTTGGTGACACGATCACTCATGTTGTGTGCGATGGGAATCCAAAAAACAAAATAAATAAAACATGAAAAGACACTTGATGAATATTTGGAGAATATTAGATGTGGGGGTAGGAGTTTATCTTATGAGGCTGCATGAAGGAGGTGTCTTTGGCAGGTGGCACCATGAATGCCTCAACCTATACCAGAAGCTAACGAGATGACCGAGTCGCCAGAATCCTCCAGAAAAGAGATGATGACAAAGCAAAACATGTTGGCAAAACTCACGAGTGTTTCTAATACAGGCAAAAGAAAAACTATCACCTGGAGAGGTGTGTTGCCTGACTTGAAACAAGTGAAACACCTTTGGGGCATCTTTTAGAGACAAAAGTAAAGAAGGCAGAGCATCCCTTTGGAAACCAAGAAGGACCAGGCCATTAAAAACAACAGCAGACAAAGGAAGCGTTTAAAAAATACAAATGTATATTTCGTCTTCTGTACCTCTGCAGCTGTTAGATATGATATGAATCAGTTTAAAGAACATTATCTGACACTGCAGTGTAAACCTGATGATCTTTGCATAGAGAGAAAGTGTTTTAAATGCCTACAAGCCCAAAACAAGCTTTTTAAATGTGCACAGTGATTTGTGTGTAACCTTTGAGGGCTCACAGTTGCATGTATCTTGACCACACGTAGAACCATTTATCAAATCTGTGCATCCAAACCTGAAGAAATACTGCTCATTTCTGCACAACGCCTTAAGTTCGGCTTCACAAATCGGATCATTTTCTCTGTGAAGAAGCTTCCTGTGCACACGCATGTCTAAACCGACGTGTAACCGCCCCCTCGCTCTCTTACAAACCATGAATGCGCACGAATGGCCTGGCACGCACAAATCACGTCGCATGCCGACGTGGGGTTTTGGCACAACTTTGACCCAGCCAGCCTCACACAAAACCACAAATCTAAGCTGCATTCAAGTCACAGTAAAAAAAGGAACATCTGGCTTCCGCTGTTTCGTCTCCAGGGTTTATCTAACCGGGCAGAGCAGAAACGAACTGAGCATTGACTGACTTTTCCCAGCAGATGAACATCCAGCATGTAGCGGCAGCTTATTTAAAGAATAAAACAATATCTGTGTTTTCTAGTGGAGAGATGAACCCATCTGTTTATTAGAAAAAAATACAATAGAAATCCAGATGTCTCCGTTTTCCACTGGGCCTTGAACGTAGCTTAGATTTTTGGATTTGTGCGAAGCAGCCGCCTGACAGTCGTCTCAGAACCTCTCCCGGGCATGTGACGCAATCTGTAGGTATCAACGATTCGTGTGCATACGTTTAAGGTTTTGTAAGCGACCAGCAGGGACGTTACGTGTGCGCACAGGAACCTTTGTCAAAGAGAAAATGATGAACTTAAAAAGTTTGCGCAAATGATCGCAATGTGTTCAGGTGCATGTCTCTGTGTGGACTGGAGCGCTCATTTGTTAACCCTCAAAAGTTACACACAAATCACGGTGTACACTTAGTTCAGGCTTGTGGATCATATCACATACATTTGTAACACTTTTGGCAAAGTTGTCTCCGTGTCTTTGAGCTAAAATTGGATATTGTTATAAGGTATTTAATTCTTGGCTCTGATTTAAGGAGAAACTAAATCCTGACTCTCATTTTTACTAAATGAGATCTGACAGTGCTGTGTCATCACAACAGAGGTTATGGCTTCAGTTTAGCTGTCTAAGTGAGAGATGGGTTTACTTGGTTAGAGCAGCTGTCTCTGTGCATTGCTGGTGTCTCATCAAGATGCAAAACTTAAGTAACATAGTGCTTTGGTATAGGGACAGAATCTCTGTAGTCTGCTAAACTCAGGAGCCCTGATGTGACGTCCTATTGTATAATGCCACTATGCATCCCGGTGAGACTCTCTGCACTATTTGCATGGACATTTTGGCATAAAATGGACAGATGGAGTGAAAACAGTGAAGTTTGATGTCATTTGGACGAAGTTGTCTTTTGAACTTTGAAGACGGCCCAGACTCCAGGTGCTCGCGCTGTCCTCACACACCAGCTACTCCACGTGGGGATCAGTAGGGAGAAACACACGTGAAAACCGGGGCCCTCGATATTGCACTTTCATAACTGTATCTGACTATAGGCGTTGCTTAAATGGTGCGTTAAAGTGCAACTCGTTCAGATTTGTTTTGTAACGTGAAATTGTCACTGAAAATGCCGACTTAAACACTTGTCCGTGACATTAAATGACAGTTATTTTATTTCAAACATGTACGCGGTTATTTCCATAGATTTTTTTTTTCCATTGGAGGTTCAGAAAGCTCACTAGGCTCATTTCTACTTTAGTTAAACACTCCGCCTCTTGTTGTGCATTTACACCTGGGAACAGGTGGAGACAGTTTAGTGAAACACAGAACAGCTTCAGCAGTCTTGGCTTTACATGATGCAAGCCAACTATACATTTAGTGATTGAAGTCGTCCCTGAGTGAACACGGTGTACAGATGGGTACAGACAGCAGCCTCAGAGCACCCATCAATATGGAGACTACAAAGGCAGACAGCAGGCGCAATCCTTTGGCCACTGCCAGCTTTTTTTCAAGGGTCTTTTTGTGGTAAGTGCATTAATGAAGATATTGGATTCCTCAGCATGTTGTTAGTATATCAGTCAAAAGAAAGAAGAAAGTTTCTGCAAATTATTCCGCACTGAGTGACAGCACTTAAAGCGTTCCGTCTGAAATGGGAATAAAGTATATCATAGAGATGAATCGGAATCTAGGAGCGAAGAGGGAATTTTTATTTTTATTTTTGTGTACTCTGTAACGACTAGAAGACTCGGGTAACAAGTAACTGAGAAATCAAATAGGTTAGAACTTAAAGGGCTTGCGGATCTTTTGATCTTTTTAAAGTGGGCTTTTAAAAAAGGCCCGTTATATCTACAGGGAGAGTGTAAGTCAATCGTTCTATAAATGTCAAATGTAAACTGTCCATATTCCATAGGTGACTGAATATAGGCTTCCCCTTCGCATAGGAGCTTCTACATATTGTACATAACAAATATGTGTCAGTTACTTAAAGAACATCACGTGATATACCCCCTACGGGCATTCCGATGTACGTCTTGGTCCAGTCCCAATGTGCAAACTGATGCTCTCACAAAGTCTGAGGCTCTCAAGTATTTTTGAAAAGCTTTCATGCAAATAGAAGTTAAAACACGTTCTTTATTGCACATCTAGTTTCTTTTTATTGGAGAAAACTGATGAGACTATTGCAATGAGCTCACTAAGTGACTTCAGTGAACTCTGTAAGGCTTTACAGAGAAACAAACCAGGGCCCTCTCTCGTTTCACAGACGACATTTAACATGTTTAGCAGTCACAGCAAGTATTCCTATTTGCTTGGAAGATGAAGGCGAGGCCAGAGCAGCTGTTTGCTATCTGCAACTTCACCACTAGCTGCCCTAAGTCGTACACACTGCTTTTTTAAAGGTTTATATATAGACTATATAGAAGTGGGTGTAGTCATTCGTTTCTCTGGACTGCAGTGTGAAGTCAGCATATGCAGATTGATTCATTCCCACAGCCAGCCTCAAAGAGCTGTCTTTTTCTTTCAGCACCAGTTGCTTTCCTGTGCTTATTAGTTATTCATACACTGATCATCATCACTTGCTTATTAATTGAAGAAGCTGGATACCTGTGAATTTACATTGTAATTTTAAATGTTCTTCCGGGACTGTGGCCGATATTTGATGTGTGAACAGCATTAGCTTTAAGAGATCCTCCAAGTCCATCACTAGAAACACTGTTTCTCCAAATAACTCATTAATCACAAATAGTTCAGACATTCACAGTCAGCTTAGATATGTCTTTTCTAAACCACAGTGATTTGTATTTTTCTCTGCCAGATGGAAATGGTTTGTTTTTTTCTGTTTCAGTTGGTTAAACCCCCTGTTAGAGCTTGGCCAAAAACACAGGCTCGAGAAAGGTGACATGTACAGTGTCCTTCCGGAGGATCGGTCTGAAACCCTGGGAGAGGAGCTGCAGAGGTACTTCAGCAAAAGGCTAATGTGACAAAACTAGAAGTGGTGCTGGTTAAGAAACATGTCTGTTTGTTTCAAGTTAATGTTTTATTTTTTTATAGTGTGGATTGCCATTCTGTCAACCTGCCACTGCTTGTAATATCAAGTGCTTTCGAGGGTCTGATAATTGTGTTACTGACCTGCTGCCAATTAACCTAATTAGCCTCAAAGTCCTCCAGTTGTTTCTTTTTAGTGCCACTTACCTTTGCAGCCTTCTCTTGCCCTGTCCCAACTTTGTGAGATATGTTGCTGCCATCAAATTTCAATGCAAATAATTTTCATAAAATAGTAAAGCACCTCTGTTGGAAATGTGTTTATAAATCCTGGGCTCAACTAATAAATTCATTTGATTTGCAGATGTTGGAACGAGGAAGTAAAAAAGGCTTCAAAGGAACTACGGAAGCCGCAGCTCTCCAGGGTTCTTATAAAGTGCTATGGAAAGTCCTATGCATTAGCCGGCCTATTTGAATTTTTTCTGGTATGTTGTGAATATTTACAATTGGCACCAGTGTTAAAACAATCATTCATGCACAGGTCATATTTGAGATTTTGTGCGGTTTTCTGGCCATATTATTTCAGATGAGCTAAAATAAAAAGGAATACTGTAGTTTTACTGTATTATTGTATTACTAGCAGATATTTGAACCAATTTACCACATCAAGTACTAGTAATGGATAGAGTGAAGCTTGTTTGCATATTCCATTATGTATTTATTGTCTTTGTCATAAAGGAGGCAATCAAAGTGATCCAGCCACTTCTTCTGGGAAAAATAATCCTTTTCTTTGAGAATTATCACCCAGAGGATCAGAGGAGTCTTTGCATGGCGTATGTTTACACTGCTGCGATGTCCATCTCCACGTTTGGACTGACTATCCTCCAACATCTCTACTACTATCATGTCCAAAGAACAGGCATGAGGATTAGAGTGGCTATGTGTCACATGATCTACAGGAAGGTCAGTGAAGATTCAGAAAATTTGCACAAGAGATGCAGATTTTTGAGCTCACAACTCTCAGAATAATTTTGTACATTTTTCAAGCTGTTAAGTAAAAATGTTCTCATCAGGCTCTTGGTCTCAGCACTGAATCCATCGGACGAACAACCACCGGTCAAATAGTGAACCTACTTTCAAATGATGTTAATCATTTTGATGAGGTAAGGCAACAGATGACCTAAATTTGTAAGGGTCAAGAACCAACTCGAAACTACATTTGGAGAATTGTAACCGAGACAACAGAAGGACAGAAGGTTAACCTGGATGTACCCTTTTGAAACCTTTTTTCATTAGGTATTTGAGTAGATGGGTATTTGTGGTAAATGCAGTTTTTTTTTTAGATATTATTTAAAAGTTACTACACTAACTTGCCACGGGAGAATGATAAAGATGAAAAATCTGAACTCTTGACCCTCTGCTTGATGTTATATAAGATAAGATAAGATAAGATAACCTTTATTAGTCCCACACGTGGGAAATTTGTTTTGTCACAGCAGGAGTGGACAGTGCAAAAGTTATGAGGCAAAAATTAGAATACAATAAGAATAAATACAGTACACAACTGTACAGAATAGAATAAAATACTATATACAGTAGAATAAAATAAAATAAATATACAATAAGATAAAAATAGAATACAAATACAAATACAACTGAGTAAAAATACAACGATGACAGAAAGGATTATTGCACTTAGTATTATTGCATATGTATGGATGTGTGTGCTTGATCAGTTAAAGTCTTTGTTGTGGAGTCTGACAGCAGTGGGGAGGAAAGACCTGCGAAATCTCTCCGTCCCACACCGTGGGTGCCGCAGTCTCCCACTGAAGGAGCTGCTCAGTGCTGTCACAGTCTGCTGCATGGGGTGGGAGATGTTGTCCAACAGGGATGACAGCTTAGCCGCCGTTCTCCTGTCACTCACCACCTCCACTGGGTCCAGAGGGCATCCTAGAACAGAGCTGGCCCTTCGGATCACCCTGTTCAGTCTCTTCCTGTCCCCAGCAGAGATGCTGCAGCCCCAGCAGACCACACCATAAAAGATAGCAGAAGCCACAACAGAGTCATAGAAGGTCTTCAGGAGTGGGCCCTCCACTCCAAACGACCTGAGTCTCCGCAGCAGGTACAGCCTGCTCTGCCCTTTCCTGTAGAGGGCTTCTGAGTTATGAGTCCAGTCCAGTCTATTGTTCAGATGAACACCAAGGTACCTGTAGCTGTCCACAGCCTCAATGTCCATACCTTGGATGTTCAGTGGTTGCAGTGGAGGATGCTTGTGCCTGCGGAAGTCTACCACCAGTTCCTTGGTTTTACTGGCGTTGATCTGGAGGTAGTTATAGGGCAGGGAAGAGGTCTGGAAGCAAATCAATACAAAGTTGTCCAGAGAGATCACATTTATTGTATGACGAAACATTTCTGTCCACTTCCAGGATTACAGCACACCATCTATAGAGCATAAGGTCTGGCGAGTCCCTGTTCAGACGGTGGCATCACAAGATGACTGATTTTGAGCTAATACAAGACCTCACAATAACTTCTAACCAATGAGATTGACTGAGAGCAAACCTTCCACTGATAGCTAGCTATGTCATAAGGATGTATATAGGCAATTTTTGTATGGGTAGGACAATTAAGTTTACTTTTGTCTAATTCACAGGAAGTTGTTTTCAAAAAATATTAGGCAGGCATCTGAATAAAACATCTGTACTTCCACAAATGAAACATGTTCATCCACCCTGGTTACCTGCTGTCAGGCATTAAAAGCAAGTCTCTGCGGCTATTTTGTTAATGCCACAAAGGAATCATTTTTGGGATAGCTTAAAGCCTGACACGACTGATTAACATGTGAGGGTGATTGCAGTCACACGAGAATCACAAGCATCTTAAAGCTGTTCTATCGGCATGTAGTTACCCAACACTTTATTGAGACACCTTAAGTATTCCTAAAATTTGTTGACCATTAGCACATTTCTTTTCAAAATGTCATTTATAATGACCTCTACAGATTACACTCAGACTGCACTACTTGTGGGCGGGCCCTCTGCAAGCAATGGTGATCATCGTTTTCCTTTGGTATGAGATCGGCCCCTCGTGCCTGGCAGGTGTGGCAACAATTGCAGTTATGATGCCGATACAGACCTGGTTTGGAAAACTCTTCGGCATCTTCAGGTAAAGGATAACTGGAGAAGTACATGGATCTTTCAATCTATAGACCTCTCAACGTCCAGCAAGAAACAAGACCCGACTGCAGGACTCGGAGGCAAATTGGGCAAATGTAAAACACACCTTTTTATTAAAGTAGAAGCCCGATGTTCACAAGCTCCAAAATATCCACACACAAAAAAGACTAATCCAGGAAATTCCAAAACCCGAACTGAGACATACAAAGGTGGTTAAACAGGCAGACTGCCAGACTTCTTCTTGGATTTTAGACACAAAGGTGCATTGCTGCCCTCCTCTAGTACTTCGTAAACCAAGGAGGTCAAACTCATTTTTCCTTGAGGGCCACATACAACTTACTTTGATCTTAAGCAGGCTGGACGAGTGGCGCTGTGATTTTTCTTTTCTAAAGAAATGTTGCTGCAGTAAATGAAAGACATGTTCGCACAAATTCAATTGTAAGAAATGTTTGAAATTACACAAAATGTTCTGGTAGCTCATTGCCCAGACTCTCCTGTAATTATAAAGCAGGAAGTGTTTGTTAATACACAGAAAACCTTCTGTTTCTCTCGTTTTCTTACTGTGGGCACATTATTTTACAGAACTTCTGCAGAGTTCTTCCCAACTCGGTTTCAATTATAGAAAGATTGGCACAGGGCACAGACGACTGAGTCAAAAAAGTCAAAAAAAGAAACAAATGACAACCAAAATAAAACAGGGAATGAATAACCGAAACACTCAATATGACAAACTAAAAACAAGGAGAGGAAAGAAAGGAACAAGAGCCAACAAGAATGAATCAAAGAAAATCAAACGATGAAGAACAACCCAACCAACAGAAATAGGAACTTGAACTAAAAAGATTCGAACTAAGAACTAAACGTTCCCTATGAATCTAAAAACATTTTAAAACAAGTTCCAAACTCTGAAACCTGAGTCCAAACCCAGGACCATGACAGGGCCTGTGTAACAATGTTCAATGACTGTGTCTATTTTCTCATGCACTAATATGTTATTTATAATGTATCATTAGGAAAACTAGCAGCCTCAATGACATGTTGTGGGGTTTTTTGTTGTTGTTTTTTGGCAGGAGCAAAACAGCAGTCCTTACTGACAGCAGAATCCGTATCATGAATGAAGTGGTGTCTGGCATAAGGATAATCAAGATGTATGTCTGGGAGAAACGGTTCTCAGCCCTGGTGACTGAAGTTAGAAAGTAAGGATGAGAATCACGGACAAACTGGTAATGTTTTGACACGAATCATTTTCTGAACCAGCAGAATACTACTGCATATATTATCCTTTTTTTGGTACCCCTCTCCATCATCAACTGATTTAGCCCTCAGCTCTGACAGGCTCACGGGGTATTGTCGTCAAAACACAGGGAGGACGACAATACCAAGTTTGTGAATGAACTCCAGAATGAGGCGACATAGGATTTTCAAATTCAGACCAACGATGCACCTACTAGAAATCTCAGATAAGTTCAAATCCCGCTGACCTTAACCCCAAGGTCAGAGGTTAACTTTTCTGAAAATCACTTAGGATTTCCACGTTTTTCACATAGGTGCAAATGCTACAACTCTTACAGTGGGGCAAAAAAGTATTTAGTCAGCCACCGATTGTGCAAGTTCCCCCACCTAAAATGATGACAGAGGTCAGTAATTTGCACCAGAGGTACACTTCAACTGTGAGAGACAGAATGTGAAAAAAAAAATCCATGAATTCACATGGTAGGATTTGTAAAGAATTTATTCGTAAATCAGGGGGGAAAATAAGTATTTGGTCAATAACAAAAATACAACTCAATACTTTGTAACATAACCTTTGTTGGCAATAACAGAGGTCAAACGTTTACTATAGGTCTTTACCAGGTTTGCACACACAGTAGCTGGTATTTTGGCCCATTCCTCCATGCAGATCTTCTCGAGAGCAGTGATGTTTTGGGGCTGTCGCCGAGCAACACGGACTTTCAACTCCCGTCACAGATTTTCTATGGGGTTGAGGTCTGGAGACTGGCTAGGCCACTCCAGGACTTTCAAATGCTTCTTACGGAGCCACTCCTTTGTTGCCCGGGCGGTGTGTTTTGGATCATTGTCATGTTGGAAGACCCAGCCTCGTTTCATCTTCAAAGTTCTCACTGATGGAAGGAGTTTTTGGCTCAAAATCTCACGATACATGGCCCCATTCATTCTGTCCTTAACACGGATCAGTCATCCTGTCCCCTTGGCAGAAAAACAGCCCCATAGCATGATGTTTCCACCCCCATGCTTCACAGTAGGTATGGTGTTCTTGGGATGCAACTCAGTATTCTTCTTCCTCCAAACACGACGAGTTGAGTTTATACCAAAAAGTTCTACTTTGGTTTCATCTGACCACATGACATTCTCCCAATCCTCTGCTGTATCATCCATGTGCTCTCTGGCAAACTTCAGACGGGCCTGGACATGCACTGGCTTCAGCAGCGGAACACGTCTGGCACTGCGGGATTTGATTCCCTGCCGTTGTAGTGTGTTACTGATGGTGACCTTTGTTACTTTGGTCCCAGCTCTCTGCAGGTCATTCACCAGGTCCCCCCGTGTGGTTCTGGGATCTTTGCTCACCGTTCTCATGATCATTTTGACCCCACGGGATGAGATCTTGCGTGGAGCCCCAGATCGAGGGAGATTATCAGTGGTCTTGTATGTCTTCCATTTTCTGATGATTGCTCCCACAGTTGATTTTTTCACACCAAGCTGCTTGCCTATTGTAGATTCACTCTTCCCAGTCTGGTGCAGGTCTACAATACTTTTCCTGGTGTCCTTCGAAAGCTCTTTGGTCTTGGCCATGGCGGAGTTTGGAGTCTGACTGTTTGAGGCTGTGGACAGGTGTCTTTTATACAGATGATGAGTTCAAACAGGTGCTATTCATACAGGTAACGAGTGGGGGACAGAAAAGCTTCTTACAGAAGACGTTACAGGTCTGTGAGAGCCAGAGATTTTCCTTGTTTGAGGTGACCAAATACTTATTTTCCACCCTAATTTACGAATAAATTCTTTACAAATCCTACCATGTGAATTCATGGATTTTTTTTTTCACATTCTGTCTCTCACAGTTGAAGTGTACCTCTGGTGCAAATTACTGACCTCTGTCATCATTTTAAGTGGGGGAACTTGCACAATCGGTGGCTGACTAAATACTTTTTTGCCCCACTGTAAATCCTCCTTTTGCAACATGTTTACATTTTATGTTTGCTTGTCTTTTCTTCAATTTGTGAAAAAGTTTATATTACTACTTTATTTTATGGGGTGTTCTTAATTGGTACTGTTGTCCTCCTGCTGAAACTCATATCAAGAGTGACCCCTAAACTCAGTGGGAGGTTTGGATCCTGCTGTATTGGATAACCAAGAGTACTTAGACAGAACTTATGCAGGCACAGGGAGAACATGGGAATTCACAAAAAACTATACTCTGACTTTTCTTTCCTTTTTCCTTCATAACTTAAAAATTAAATATATAATTACTGTCATAGACATATCAATGTGAAACCGATGTTGCTCAACATCCTGCCAAATTTAAACTTAAAACTTTGCTTCAACTATGTAATCCATCTACATATGTTCTCTTATGTTTGTAGGAAAGAAATCAGTCGGATATTAAAGAGCTCCTTCCTACGAGGACTCAACATGGCTTCCTTCTTTGCCAGCAGCAAGCTCATAATCTTTGTTACCTTCACGGTCTACACTCTTTTGGGGAACACCATGACTGCCAGCCAGGTGTTTGTCACCATGTCCCTGTATGGTACAATTAAGGTCACCCTGACCCTGTTCTTTCCTCTGGCCATTGAGAAGTTGTCAGAGACTTTAGTGAGCATTCGCAGGATTAAGGTAATTAATTTCTGTCATAAACTGTAGGAAAAGTTGGCAATCCAGTAGTCATGTCCAAGATAGTCAAACAATTTCCAAAGCTGGGGAAAAACATGTTTATCATTTTCTCAGAATTTTCTCCTACTGGAAGAGATTGAGAGAAAAAACATTATGTTGCCTTTGGCGGAAAAGGGGGGAAACTCTATTGAGATCGAGAAACTGACCTGCTACTGGGATAAGGTAAATAGTGTAATATATTTCGTAGCGGTGTAACATATTGTTGTAGAACAATGACTGATAGGTTTGTAGCATAAACCTAT